ACCAACTAACGCATAAACACCAATTTAGATGCGCCTACACAGACTAAAACAACACTCTGTGGAAACTAGAGACATCGAGCGAATATCTATTTAAAACCACCCAACGAGTCCATTTCAGAGGTGAAACGAACTTCATCGTGCCCTTTCTACGAGTCACAAACAATGTCATCGCGCGAACTCGCCGTGAACGTGGTCCTATTTGCGATTTTTTTATCAGATACACTAATTGAAAATGATAACGGAAAAATTACTCGTTACGGTCGGGGAAAACTCAACAGAAGTACAATAATGTTACAACGCGTGTACACACTCTACTCGCGTTACACAGTTACACACACGTGTACCAAACTATACATCACCGGAATTATGGTGAATCTTCGGACAGATACAAATAACGGACATTGGGAAGGAGACGAGGAACCCCGTGAACACGCGCCCATAAATTAATGCGCCGCCTGTCTGTCGTACTGGTGTACCTTAAATACGTTGGTTTCGACGTTGTTTTTTTTTTTTTCAGTTTTGTTTTATCCACCCCGTCGAATACGTACACACTAGGAATGAACGCGTTCTCGAAAATGTGAGATATTTCATATACGGTGACAGCGATAATAATGTATAATTACACCGTGATACCGCCGTCCCGACCGTCATCGACACGCGGTTGACGGTCAATGACGAGGGGGCTGCGTTCGGCTGTTCCGCCGGAACAGTCCGTAAACGCAATAATCCATTCGGTGCAAGTCGCAGGAAAAAAACGTTTAAAAAAGCAACGGTATAACACCGCGAATTGGCCGTGTAAATGTGTTTTAATCGCCTCGGGCGAAATCCGTCGACGTCATGCCGGCGCATTGATGCCGTTAACAATACTTTAGCGGTTTTTTTCCCTTTGTTATAATAGCTGCTACGTTATTAGGCACCTCTATGTCGCTTTTATTTTTTCCGTGCCGCGATAATTCGCCGTGCAATCGGATGTCTAGTTGACCGGGTCGTTGTTACCTTCCAAACGCGCACAATCGCTGCCATCGATAATCCCGTCGGAGGAATTCCTCGAGTCGATGCGCCTCGTGGTGTGCTGTCGCTTATTAGCCAGCGTGGCGACGCCGTCACCGCGACACAGCTCGGACGGCTGGTCTGAATGGTGACGGTAGCGAATAGTAACGACCGCGTTGTCACCCATTTCTTGTTGACATTTTCTACTACTCGTTTCACTCGTATCTAACACATTTCTCATCTCTTTGATCGACTCGATTTGACTGCTCGAGACAGTTTTGTTGTAAACATTTATTTACGCGTTACGTTTGATTATTTATTTTCATTATTAAATTTATAATTCGGTGGGACGTGCGCACTACGGTCTGGGTGCACCGGCAGTTCTTGTCCGCCTCCATAACAACTAAAACTAAAACTACGCGTGGATACGTGTAGAGAACTTCTCATTTTGATCGATTGTGTTGTTTCATTGAAAATGTAAAAATATTAATTAATGTTAATGTGTTAAAAAGTAAACATCCTAATAACACATTAAATTTGAACTACAAAATAACCGGCCAACTGCGTATTGGTTTCAGAGTAACACGCAGTTTCGGAGTCGTTTTGCTAGTATCCTGTTGGGCTAACTATACTTAAAAAGTATTTGAAATCAAACTAGTTTAAGACATAAGCATAAAAAACCTATATTATTTTATGTTTTAAATGTATCAATTCACTTTTATACGAATATTCTACTCTCTTCGAGGAGTGCTCATTATGAGTTTTTAGTGGAGATATAAAATGAAAAATACATTCTAGATCTCTCGATTTTTTTAATCACGAGTACAAAATATATCTAAAATAGATATTACTGCTTTTAAATTATCAACTATCACTTGTACACTTGTTTCAATTTAAATGGTTGTATTAATGGGTACATTAGAGTATAAAATAGTATTCATAAATATAATAATATAATACTATTAGTATACAATATAAAATGTCATATGAACTACACGGTAGTCTCGTAGAAATAAGGTACGATTAACATTGTTTATTCAATAATATTTTAATCGGGTTTTGTAAACAATACTAACTGATTAGAATATATCTTTGAAAATATGCAGACATATTTGACGAGATTTGTATTTTGATTACGCATGGGAGTACAGACAGAATGATTTATTAGATTTACATAACATAAAGTTTGACTGATAATATTTGTATATCATTATGTGCATCTATATCGTTTGGTTAGCTTTGGTATGTATCCCGTCACGATATGATTACATTAAGAACTGCTTGAAGGATCGACTTATATTGTGGTTTACACTAGAAATGAATGCTATAAAAAAGTACTTCTGTATAAATTTAAAAAATAGTTGTACAGCTATCTTCATTTTTTATTCTCGCGGGTAAAATATTTTGAACATATGTAATTTTAAGTAAATCGTCTTCTTTGATTATCCAGGAAGATTTTTTATTTACTTGTTAGCCGATTGTCAATTATTTACAACTTTAGAAATGTTCTTTAGCAAAACAAAACAACGTCAATATAATATTATATGATGAATTGTGACCCAGCAAAACCTATTGATATTATGTTATAATCATTCATTAATAAAACTCGAACTAACTGGCGAATATTTTTAATTAAAAAAAAATTTACTGTGTCTTTGACCGTTTTGGTCGCTCATACCTTTTGTGAGTTGAAAGAAAATAAAAATTTTTAAAAAGATATATGCTTTTTACAACTACAATAGGGTTTCATGAATTGCTTGCATTTCTAATAATTTTTGGTATATATTTCCTCGAGTGAATACGTACAATATATAATATTTACATGTAGGTCTTAATTGCTTAGGACAGTCACGATGAAAAAAATAGTATAATCTCTTCTTTTTTTCCCCGTTAGCAATTTTGAGTGAATATCGTTTTGGGTAACAAATAGTGTCGACTTTAGAGACGCTCCTCAGTGTTCTTTAACTAGCCTAATAATGACAGAACCAGTAACAGTGATTTTAAGGGGTTGTGCGTGTTTTCCCGCGAACAGATTGTCCGAATCGCCAGATAGTCTACACAATACACACTGCTGTATCCGTACGTGATGTCACCGTTAGTGTTGCCTGCAGCTCAGCTGGTCGCACGCGCTCCTCCGTATCAAAGCGCCGGTGGTACGCCCCAGGGTTCTTGTGTAAACAAAACGTGACAGTACGAGAAGAGTGTTCTTGTTGTGGGCGCGAAAAATCACTAGGAGACGTGTGTGTGCGCGTCATTTGAATGTGAAAAGAATAATACGAATGTAACGATGGAAAAAAATTAAAAACTAATAAGAAACAAATTCGGAAAAGAGTACATTTCAAGAGAACATAATAGACGTAATGCTGACGAGTAAACGTCCACTCGATTTGTAATGGTAGATTACAACATTATGTTATTAGTGTGTATCATCATATTATCGAACGGGTCGTCGACAACGGGGAGGGGAGGAGGCCCCCGAGGCGGAAGGAAGAGGTGTATAATTGATTCAAGGATGCCATCTTTGTACGTCCATTATCGGATTGGTCGCGCCCTGCGTGTGGTCAAATGTGTTGTGTTGTTACTTCAATCGCTATACATGTGTATATATATATATATATATACAACAGCAATGCGATGTCGTTTCTAACTAGGCCTGCCAGCGTTTGTATTATTGTAGGCGCGAAACAGCTGCTGTGCTGAGGCAACGGCTCGAAGGACTAAAAGTCGGTTGCGTGGAATTTGCCGCCCCGAGTATCTATCACAACGATTAGTGGGGAACACTTTGGGTTCGCGGTGTTTCCATCAACATTTTTCTGGAAAAACCATTAAGCGTACTCGAGTTAATGATTCCATTGGCGGCTTAGTTAATCGCGTCAACGTGATACAATAAAAGGTGACCGCAGTAATGATGTTTCGGCCAAGTTATATTCTTTAATGTAGCGCCGACGGTTTTGTCCGAGAGTGTCGATAAAGGAGTTAAAAAGTAACCATTTGTTTTTATTGACGTGCGTGTAATGTTTTCAAGCGATTCGACATAATCGATAGCACGCAGAACATTTCTTTTAATAAACGCTGCACAAACACATTCGTTGTATAGCGTTTATCTCGACATCATAAAGAATGCATAACGTGGTGTTGGGTTCGATTTTGCAAGGCCCCAAAAATATTCATTTAAAAACACACTTGAGTACATATATAACGCTCACGATAAATTTTTCATATGACTTGTTAATAATGCTGAATTTATTCGTCATAATTACATGTAACAAGAGATAAGTTGGTGGACTATTTTTATTTTTATCATTTGGAAGGTAAACAACGATTTCAAGTAAATTTAAACGTTTTTATTCTTAACTTCAAAGTAATTATTAACACGTATTTAATGTGCTTATCAAATGAAAAAAAAGTGTTAATTTTAGACTTCTTCGTTAGAGTTTTTGATAATTTTTACACTGACTTTTGGCCGAGGTATGCCCTCTGGAGGATTCAAAAACAGCCAGAAACGTGTTTTTTACACTCATGTTTACAAGTAACAATTATTGTAATATTATTAAATAAAATTCATACAATGATACAGCAATGCGATTAATTATTTCGATGATGATTTAAGAACGCAACTTCCATAAACACATAAATTTTCAAATGAACTGCGTACATTTAACTGAATAAAAATAAATAATTGCTTATTGAGTAATAATATATTGACTGTTTAGTAAGGAATGTCAAGAGTAATTGAAATTAGTCGCAATAGTTTTTGGTATCGCCGAAAATAACTTCGACCGGCGCTATTTGAAAATTCGGAATGTTTTAAACTTAAAATAATTATTTGTTTTTTAATCGCGTGACATTGTACCATTTTCGAGATTGTTTATTGTACTTCAAAGGCCAAGTGCCTATATGGGAATAATATTTTATTAGATCTTTTCGTGTACTGCATAAAACTGTTTGCGTAATATCCATTAAAATTGTCTTCTGCCGTCGCCGAGTCACAACAGGTTTTTCCCTGGCAGTATAAATAGTAGTAGTAATAATAATAATGAATATCGGGTACCGTCAATAATTCCCGAATGAGAATTGAGGAGAAACACACAACACATTATTGTAATGTATACTATTACCTGAGGTCCACAAGAAGAACAAGAATAATGTGTTTTTGGAAAAAAATAACAGTAAGAAATGGTAAAGAAAAAAATAAGAAACGTTTATTATCTAAAGAGAAAAAGGGTCACGCAGGAGTCAGGAGGGAACATGTCAAACCGCGCGCCGAGCCAGCTGTGTGAAATGACAAAGTTATGTGTTTCTGGTAATGTCTTCGAAAACCCATAGATTCCACGCACACATTTATAACATGAAAACCCTCGAAATCATTCTAGATGGAATCGGACAACCCCTGTATTGTAAGCGTGTGTGTAATGCATACAATGCGCGTCGAGGGTGTGTTCGACATGACAAGAATGTTAGTGCGCTGTACTCGTAACATTCAATGATGTGCCGCCGCCACCGCGGACAACCGAATAAACGCGCACGGGACGAGGAGTGGGACGACGACGACGACGACGAGGAGCACGAGAATATTAGGTACATTTACATTTTCCCTTTGTTTTTTCCAATCTGATCCGCTCAATTATTTATTACGGTAATCTCCCGAATGTCGGTAAATACACCGAGATGAGGTCACGTGATAGATGTTCACTGAGAGATTGACCCGCTAGATTGGCGAGTCGGGCCTACTGTATGAAATAAAATAATAATAAAATCCATTTTGTGGGATAATTAATAACGTGTCCGGGCTGCGGTCGTGTGTGGGTTATAATGCATAGAGAACACGTCGACCATGTTGGCAGTCAAGTGCCCTGACCCAAACACTGTCCCATACCCGGAAAAAAGTACAAAGTGGCGAATATTCTTTAACATGAAACTGTGTTACTCGTATCAACAACGTTTTCATTTTCTATGAACGACACGATTTGGTTAACAGCTAAACTACTCTGAATCAAATTTTAACTAATCGAAAGATCGGAGAAGGTTTGACGTTAATTTTTAATTTTTTTTCGACTGTATAAAGCTTTTCCCACTTCAGTAGTTTATTTGTCAGCTTAAATAAGAAATTTTTCATACCATTTATTACAATTCTTACCTGGTTCGTATTCAATTTACACTGTAGAAAACTACCGATTATTGGATCACTAGGATACCTCGNAAAGCTTTTCCCACTTCAGTAGTTTATTTGTCAGCTTAAATAAGAAATTTTTCATACCATTTATTACAATTCTTACCTGGTTCTGGTACTGTAGAAAACTACCGATTATTGGATCACTAGGATACCTCGATTCTATAGCTTGTACCTAATAAAGATAAAACCAAATAAAGATGGGTATAACCATTTAGGCCTTACTTTCACTTTAGTCTGACGCCAAATACGTCAATACAATGCACTACCCAAAATTTTGGTAAAGATTTCCCATAGTTATGTATCTTTTCTGAAACGCATCAAATCGTATGTACTATTAAACAATTTTTAAATAAGTTTTGCCAAACTTCATATGTCTAGAGTTTTATGAACTCGTTGAATAATTAAATCATTTTCTATAGCTTATCTTAAATGCTCGTTGCTCAGATAAATACACAAAATGCATTAAATCTACTTTACACAATTATGTTCAAATAAATTTGGATGGGCTCGCAATTTATGTCGAATAAACACTTTTTTTTTTTGTAATTCTATCAAATAAAATATGTAAGTATGAATTTAAAAAAAACTCCATAAATCAAAATTTAAAATCTTAATCTATCGCACTCTCAATGAAAAAAGTCGTTCATCAGATAAATGATTCAAAGTTTTAATTTGACATAAGAGATTATTTTTACTATTTATATGAAGTACAATTTAATTTTCAACGATAAGGATTAAATATAGATCAATGAACTACATTCAACTTAATGAAGTTTGACATAATGTAATTTTGATATAATTATTACATAAAAATTATAAATTTTATTATAGTATTATATTATGTATTTTCAGGAGCGTAGGTATAGATTTTTGAATACCTAGGGTTTATGTATTCAAAAATTATTTATTGACCCATATTATTTATTAAATCGTAATTTGATTACTAGTGAAAAAATTTCGTAATGCGAATTTGAACTCCTACAACACCTTTGGCTCTCTTAAATTGGTAGTATGATATATATTGGTGGTATTTCAATAAATAATGTCGAATTCATTTATTTAAACTTAGATACAGAAATTTTTTTATGTTCTTTCGAATGGAACAGATCCGGTTGGGTAATTTTTAAACAAACGGTAAATATTTTTCTAATTAATACATTATCATATATAAATCGATATTTAATCACACTCGAGTTAATATAAGTACTGTACTCGAGTTTATTAAGCAATAATTGTCGTATTGTCATGGTGAACAGTACATAAGTAAGGGGGTAACCAAGCGGGGGATGTTGTCGGGTGGCCAATCACAATTGGCCCTTGCATTCTGTTATTTGTTACGTACATAGCCGCTCATTTGTCATCTGCCCTTTTGAGAAGAATAAAAAATAAAAAGGTACCCGTTGTCCCGTTGGAGCAATTCATTTCTCTTAACGGCACACCATTTATAACAAACTGAAAAATATAATGTAATAAACAACAATGGGTACATTACGAAGTTCTTTTTTTTATATTTTTTTCATCACGCCATTTCTCCTTGTTCTTAACAACAGTTGACGATTGTTCGGTTTATTATTATTATGATCATCATTATTAATACTATACTTTGTCCTCAGCAGTTATTGCCATCGAAAATTGGGGTGTTTAAGTAGATAATATTTCACTTGTCCGTGTGAAACCTGTCTTAGTACAACTTATTTTTTAAAAAATGCAATATAATATTATTTAAATGTAACTTAAACTCACAACAATATTAATAAACACGATGATATAAGTGTTTGTGTATTTCAGTCATTATCGACGATGTATAATTAATTTAATTTACAAGTATTTTGTAATATGTTTTTACAATATTTAAAACAATAACCATTGAAACTGAAAGTATTGCTAGAGATAAAGTGGATTCCGAATCTTCAGTATCTTATGGTTTTTATTATAACTTAATCCAGAAAGTATTATCGTTGCAAATTGGGAGTATTGTTATAATGTAATACATCTTAATTTTAAGACACAGGTCATTGGGGTTCGGATTCAAATGCATATTACTTCTACTTATGTTATCTACACTTTATGTATATGACTAACAATCATTAAAACATACTTCCCTGGAGCTTAATATTCATGTTTTAATAGTTTTACTAACCAACACTAAATCTTAATCGAAACAAAACATTTTTAAATTAAATATAAATTTAAATAAATACTTTTTTGAAATAAAACATATTCGGTTTACGTTACTAAATCGAATTTAAAAAACAGTTGAATAACAAAACACATCGAAGCTAAAAAAATTTTACTCAGAAATTGATTTCTATTTTTTTTCAAGTTCAATAATAAGTAATGTCTTACACAGTACAAAACAATCATAATTTTATTAAATTATTATCGTATTATCGTAGCTGATAATCGATGAAATTTTATACTTTTAAAATTTTGTTTTTATGATATGATTGTTCAATGATTTGGTCATCGAACACTTAATTACTTTCAAATTCAAATACACCTGTGCACAGTTCAAACAGCATGCCATGGTGACATTTTCCTGGGTTAACTATACTAGTCTGGCTGTAGTATTGTAAAATACCTGCGCGTGCACTTTGCCGTGTAATAAGCATCAGGTAGGACCCATAATAACATAAGCCATGACACCAGTCAAAGGCACAGATGTCCCTATAAGTATTATTATCTGGTCTGTTGTACATAACACCAGAAGTCCGTGACACAGGGTCAAAACTACTTTTTTTTACGTCAAAAACGCAGTTCAACCTCATAAAGATCGTATCTTTTTATTCGTGTAACTGACACTATCAGGTTTGTTGTAGTTATAAAATCGATTCCCTTAACACGTTTAATTACTCGTAAAATCTATATTATTTAGTGAAACGAGTTCTTTAGTCATATGAAACTTGTTCGCTATTATAAAATGCCATTTTAGTGTACCCTACCCCACCTTTTTTCATTAATACTCGGCCTATGCTACCTTAGTTATATATTATGCTGATGCATTCATGTCGCTCTAATTCATGAACTTCGATTCTTAAAAACTACTTGATATTTTCTTCTTTCAAAAATATTAATTTAAACTTGAGCTAAGAAAAATTACCATCAACATTTTGTCGTACGGGTTGAGCTGTAATTTCTATGGCTGTATGAAAATAAGTCACCAACACGAATAGGTTTCGTAAAAAACAATTACTAAGAATAATTCAATGAATTTTATTATGTAGTATGTTTTTTTTATAAACTATAAGTTATTCGCAGGTGACATTTTTTGTATTTGACTTAGTGATGCGGGTCAATAGGATGAACTGTATAACAATGTATAAATTTCGGTAACCATAATAAATTAAATAAAAAATAATAGTATAATTTATTAGTTATTTTTTTACAAAAGACATCTATTATGTGTAACTTTGAAGAAGCTGTCTTTTTTTTTAATTAAAAAAAACTAAAATTAAAAGTATCTATTTTAGAAAACTTACACATCTTACATCAATTATTTCATAATTATTTAATAAAGAAATCCTTTTATATTTTTATGATAATAATACATAAATTAATTAAATAAATACTCGTGAATATAAACATTTCGTATTTTATTATAATATAAAAAATATTTAGTACAATATTTATTTATAATAATTAAATTTATAACAATTTTTTCTATAAGTTAAAATAGGAAATTTCATTTTTGACATCAAAATATTGAATAAAAAATCAAATTCTTCGGCATTTTTAAACGCTGACTCATAAAGAAAATAATATTTTACTAAATTTAAAACCAAAATAATGAACTATTTAAAACCAGACTTTGATCCCTTAACTCTAACATGTATAGGTTTATATGTCTATTCAATAACAATAAATAGCTTTAAAAAGTTCTTTTTAATGCGGAAATCGCTACTAAATAATGTATCAAATTTGTAAACATAAGAACATCGTTATCAATTGATTTTAATTTTGTTTACAATCATATCATATTGTAAGCAAAGTTAAACTCATTTAATGCATATGGCTCATAGGCATTAAATTATTTTAATAAAAATAAGATTCCTATAGGTTAAATAATAATATCACAGAAAACATTTTGGTCGTATTGAATACTGAACATCATCTCCTTCTTTATTTTACTAATCTATAGATTATCAGTCAGAAGACAGAAAATAAAATATAAAAACAATACAATTAAACAATAAATACAAATGACAATGAAAACTTATTTAACGTATTTTTAGTCTTAACAATGATCATAAACATAAAGTTAAGCGAAATAGTACAGTTTTATCAAATCGTGAAGAAAAACCAAATGAAGTGTTTGATTGAAAAAATATAATTGACGATACTAGTACTGATATACGAAAACACCAACTTAAAAGATGTGTAATGTAAACAATGAAATTCCAAATAC